AAGTGTTACCAAAGACCGTGTATAGCCGGTCTTTGGTGTTACTACCAAAGAGTAACATTCAAAGGAAAGAAGGAGGAGACATAAGGACAAGAGATGTTTGACAAGAAAGAAAGAGAAAACCACACCAGAGAACCCACTAAATACCCATTAAGTTTACAAAACAGCCTTTGGAAAGCCCTTGCCTTAATGATCATAAAACAGTTTAAATAATGGTGATATCTTTATTAGTTAAAAAGTTATGGCGATTTTTCTTACCAAACAGTTATGAAGTTCTGAATTCTATCCTATGAACAAAAAGTAAACACGTATTTCTCTCGTAATTCTAATCTATTGGTACTCATATTTAGCGAACAAGAACTACAACAAATATATAATGATGTGACAGACCCAGATTTTTTACATTGCTCTGAGGAGAACAGTTATTAAGTCCTAACTTTTGCCTATGAACAAAAAGCAAACACCTGATACATGAGAATTGCATCAATTTTAAACGCAAATTTTTCTCTTATTTTCAATTTATTGGTTCTCATATTTAGCGTACAAAAACTGCAACATATATATATCGATGTGACATACTCAGAATTTTTACATTACGCTGAGGAGAAAAGTTATACGGTCCTGAATTTTATCCTATGAATAAAAAGTAAACGTCTGATACAAAGGGAATTGCATCAATTTTCAAACACGTTTATCTCTCGTAATTTTGATTATTGGCGTACAAAAACTACAACATATATATATATAACAATGTGACAGACCCAATTTTTTCTGTTATAGTTATGGAAAAGATTACAGACTCCGGAATGAAGCCTTTTGAACAAAAAAATGTGGCCTAAGCGTATCTCCCCGCCTCGGACCCAAGGGACATAACAATTAAAATGAGGTTTTGAGCCGAACAAATGCTTTTTATGAGGGGTTGGCTTTAAGTGAAAAACTTAAGGCCAACCTCCCAAGTTACGGATTTTCTTCTCTAAAAACGTAATTTATTTGGTTATCTCCCCTGCCATAGTAAAGGGAAATAACCCTACGCATGATATATTATTGGACTCTCAATCCCCCCCCCCCCCCCCCCAAACAAACAGCACCCACGTGTTTTCCATGTTGTTGATTTTTTTCTTCTTCTTTGCTTTCCTGGCACATGACAGTAACTCTCCTACTTTTATAAATTTTAGCCAGCATATGAAACATGCCTTGTAGAATGTTTCACCCCCCCAAAAAAGCGAAATAGAAAGTTTGTAGTCATCAGGTCTTATCATGATGGTGATTATATAAGTAATATATATATATATAATATGCAGATATTATGTACATGTATATCACAACAGACTCAAAGGGCTCTCTCTCGGGCGTACCGTTATACAGCTGTTACCCCACTGGACTCTGTTGTGGACGATCTTGGTTCGATTCCCATCAGAACGTTCAGGACTTGAAAATAACTGCACAATATTGAAAGACGTTATCTCCGCTTTTTTCTGAGAGTAAGAGAGAGAGAGAGAGAGAGAGAGAGAGAGAGAGAGAGAGAGAGAGAGAGA